GGGGGGGGGGAGGCGAAACGCGCGAGTAGACTGGAGGCCGAGTCCCCCCCCCCCTTCTGCGCGCCTCCAGCTGCGCCTTCGAGGGGCGCGCGGCCCATCGCCCCTCGCCCCGCGATGCAGCAGTACATGACGCAGGAGCAGTACGCTGCGGCCCTGCAGCAGCAGCAGCTGCAGCAGCAGCTGCAGCAGCAGCAGGCGCAGCAGCAGGCGCAGCAGCAGGCGCAGTACGCGCAGTACTACGCGCAGCAGCAGGCGCCTCAGCACTACGTGCAGCAGGCGCCGCCCGCCCAGGCTGCGGGGGACGTCGGCTGCCCAACTCACCAGCCCTGGCCGGGCCCATCCCGGGCCCACGGTCGGTGCATATCGGGCGGGCAGCAGCGAGGGGGGCAACTCGCGCGGGCGGATCGAGGACTGCAGGAGAGCGGCCCGCAAGGGGCCCCGAACGGCCCCTGCACTGCGGTCGCGGGCCCACGAAGGTGCACGGAAGGTGCACGTTTCTTCCGCCCCGCGCTTGCTGCACCTCCGTCAACGAACCGTTGAGTGTAGGCCTCCCTGCCAGAGCCTCGTGGGCGTAGACACCGATCCTGGGCCCAGGACGGACCGAGCCTGGATCGGCGAGGTGGATTGACGCCCCCCGCCCAGGCCCTGACCGTCACCCTGCCTGCCGACGCCTTCCCGGGGAAGACATACCAGGTGCTATCAGAGGGGATGTTCGCCGGCATGCGTCGTTTTCCCAACCATCCTGTGGTGTTGGATCTGCGTTTTGAAGAGGCAGCGCCCCGCGTCTCCTTCCTCTTCCCTCCTCCCTCCTCCCATCCCTGTCTCAGCTTTCGGCATGTCAATTTCGGCGCACCCCTCACACGTTTCGTGACCCCATAAGGAGCTCCAATGAATGTCCCAGGGGGGTACCACATGCGGTCCCCCAACCCACTTCGGCAAACCCCTCACACGTTTCGTGGCCCCGTAGGGAGCTCCAGCGAAGGCCCCAATGGCGGCTCTCCACCAGTTTCAGCACACCACTCACACGCTTCGTGACACCATAGGAAGCTCGAACCCAGTGGCAGGGTTCGCATGCGCACCCCTTGCCCATTTCGGTACACCCCTCGCAGGGTCCCAGCGGCAGGGCTCGCATCCCCCCCCGCCCGTTGCAGCACCCCCCCCATACGTTTCGTGGCTCCATATGGGGGCTCCACCGAAGGCCGCAGTGGCAGGGCTCGCATGCGGCTCCCCGCCCATTTTGGCATACCCCGCTTCCGTTTCGTGACCCCATAGGGAGCTCCAACTAAGTCCACGGTGGTAGGGTCTGCATGCGACTCTCTGCCCACTTCACATGTTTCGTTGGCCCACAGGGAGCTCCACCGAGGACGATCCACGATCCTCAGAACTGCGGTACGCATTACTGCACATGGTTGGACCCGTCGCCAGGATAATTTGGGGTTTAATTTTTGGTTTGTTTGTTTTGTGTTTTCTTGTTCCCCAAACAGAGCTTGCACTCAGGAGTTCTTATTTGTGTTCTAGGAATTGGGCCTGCGCGTCGGTCTCGCGGCTGTGTGGTCGCTGTCGCCGCTTCGTCGCAGCCCATCGTCTGGGGCTGCGCGTCGGTCTGGCAGCTATGTGATTGCCGTCGCCGACCCGTCGCCGCCTCGTCGCCGCCCGTCGTCTGGGCCTGCGCGTCGAGTCCGCCGCCTTGTAATTTCCGTCGCCGCCCCGTCGCCGCCTCGTCGCCGCCCGTCGTCTGGGCCTGGGTGGCGGTCTGGCCGCCTTGTAGCCGCCGCCGCCGCCGTCGCCGCGTCGTCGCCGCCCGCCGCATCGTCGCCGCATTGCTTGGCATTGCCTCACATTGCTCTGTTTGCCTCGGCTTGCGCTATTTTGCATGTCGCTGCGCTACTTTGCACTGCGTTGCATCGACTTGAGTTGCGTTCTCTGTGTTGCTTCGTACACCTTCCCACCGATCTCTGAGGAGCTGGGCCTGCCCGTCGCTGTGGCGGCTATGCGGTCGCCGTCGCCGCCCCTTCGCCGGCCGCCCCGCCGTCGCCCGTCCTCTGGACCTGCGCGTCGGTCTGGCGGCGGTGAGGCCGCCTTCGCAGTGCAGTCGCCGCCGGGGAGTGCGCTGCTTTGCATGGCATTGCATTGGTTTGCATGGCTTTCTTCGTGTTGCACTGTGCCGCTTTAAATTGATGTGCAATGCGTTGCATTGCGTTGCTTTGCATTGCGTTGCTTTGACTTGTTTTGAAGTCTCATGGCGCCGCTTTGCATTGCTTCTCATTGCGGTGCATTGCTTGGATGGGCTTTGCGTAGCTTTGCATTGCTTTGCATTGCTTGTATTGCTGTGCGCCACCTAGATTGCGCCACCTAGATTGCACCACCTAGATTGCGATACATGTATTCTCCTTTCTTAAAGAATATTTGGATCTCCCCCCCGCCCCCGGAATCACCTCCCCCCTTTCGTATTGCAATTTACATATGGTTCTGCCCCATCGTCCATCCTAAATATGAATGCATGCCATCCCAGGCAGGCCGGTATCGGCCCCCCCCTTTCAGTTTCTGCAGCAGAAAGTATGTGCGCACACTCGTTGATCAAACATCAACAGTTTTCAATAATCCTTTGCAACGAATGGGACGAAGTGTAAACACGCGCGTCGGCGCGCGCGCGCATGCCGAAATCCTTTCAAAACCTTAGATATCGCAAGGCATTCGAAACCGAGTGTCACGGAAACAAGCGAAAGCAAACATGGTTTCGCAACACGGATTTTCAAGAACAGCCTGCTCTCGTGCCATTGCAGATTCTCAAGAACGTCATCGGTTTTTCAGCATATTCAGCATGCTCATAACATGCTACCAAGCGGGCCTCTCGTGCGCGCATGTCGAAATCGAGTCGGTATAGGGAACCAGTATCAATGACACGCCGCTGTTGGGAGCCCGTCAGCGTTTTGCTCCTTCGCTTTTGTCCGATTGCATTGTGCTTCTTCAGCAGTAGCACGCTGAGGAGTTCCCCCTGGCGGCGTGTCATTGATGCTGTCTGCGCCCCCCAATGAAGATTATGGTCAGGCCGCAGCGCCCGAGTGCTCTCACCCCCAAGGGGCCTTTGGTAAGGCTTCGGGTTGCGCGCCGACCCCCCCTCCAAGGTAGTCCCCGCTGGTCTCAACAAATCCCCCGAGTAGCCCGGGGCGGTCTTACCACCTCACCCCTGGGGCGCGGAGCGCCCTGGGGACTCCGCTGGAGGCGGCGCCATGGTGTTGAGACCGCCCTGGACTTCAGTGAGCGGCTCGAAGAAGGAACGCTTGCTTTTCAAACGGGGCTCGGTCGTTCCTTAGGTGTTTGCATGCGTTATTGATCGTTCCTTGTGCTTTTTATTTGTTATGCATCGTTCCTTGTGTGTCATTCCTTGGGAGAACAAAGGGGGCTTCGTTCCTGAGGTCAGGCCGACGACTGTATTTGGATGGTCTGCTGAGGCCCGCGGGGACTGCTATTTGTTATATATCGTTCCTTACGCGTAATTCCCTGGGGGGAACAAGGGGGGCCTCGTTCCTGAGGGCAGGCCGACGACTGTACCTGGATGGCCTGCCGGGGCCCGCCGGGACTGCCTGGGGGGGCCTGCTGCGCGCAGCCCGGAGCCTGGGGCCTCGGTGCATCGAGGCTCGCCGTGTCCCTTCGCGCATGGGGCTGAGGCAGCCCCGAGCGCAGGAGGAGGAGGAGGAGGAGGAGGAGGAGGAGGAGGAGGAGGAGGAGGAGGGGAGGAGGAGGAGGAGGAGGAGGGGGAGGGGGAGGAGGAGGAGGAGGAGGAGGAGGAGGAGGAGGAGGATCCCTTCGGCGAGCAGGTGCAGGCCCCGGACGGGCGCCTCGTCAGCTTTCAGGTGCCCGCCGGGTGCGGGCCTGGCAGCGCGGTGCAGGTGAGCTACTGAGGGGCGCGCGCGCGCGTGGGGCTGGTCCTGTGGACGGCTCCCTCCTTGCTGAAGGAGGAGGCCGAGCTGGAAGAAGGAGAGGAATACAGCTGACTCCAGATTTCGTAACAAAGGGAGGGGGGTCTCATTTCGGGGGGGGGTCTCTTCCAGGCTATCTTGGAGGGCCTGGGGGGTCTGGGGACGATGTTTTGGAGGGTTCTCCCACGGAGGAGGTCTGACATGGCTTGTCTTGGAGGGTCCAGACCCCCTCCCTTTTATTACGAAATCTGGAGTACATTATTTATGCGATTACTAATGCAACACTACTTATAAGCCGACTGGTGATAATGATAATCATGCTCCGAATCGTAATAGTACTACCACTACTAAGAATAGGCATACTACGAGTACTACTGAGAGTAACACTACCAAGCATAATAATACTAATAAGACACATTCGACGAGTACGATTATTACTACAACTAGAAGTACTACTACTACTACTGCTACTACTACTACTACTACTACTACTACTACTACTACTACTACTACTACTACTACTACTACTACTACTACTACCTACTACCTACTACCTACTACCTACTACTACCTACTACTACTACTACTACCTACTACCTACTAACCTACTACCTACTACCTACTACCTACTACCTACTACCTACTACCTACTACTACTATTGCTACTACTACTGCTACTATGCCTGCTACTACTACTACTACTACTGCTGCTGCTGCTACTATTATTACTACTACTATACCTACTACTACTATTCCAACTACTACTACTGCTACTATTATTTGTACTACTACTACTACTACTGCTGCTGCTACTACTACCACCACCACTACTACTACTACTACTACTCCTACTACTCCTACTACTACTACTACTTACTCTTACACTACTACTACTACTGCTACTACTACTACTACTACTACTACTACTACTACTACTACTACTACTACTACTACTGCTACTACTACTACTGCTACTACTACTACGACTACTACTACTACTACTACTACTACTACTACTACTACTACTACTACTACTACTACTACTACTACTACTACTACTACTACTACTACTACTACTACTACTACTATTACTAATACTACTACTACTACTACTACTACTACTACTACTACTACTACTACTACTACTACTACTACTACTACTACTACTACTACTACTACTACTACTACTACTACTACTACTACTACTACTACTACTACTACTACTACTACTACTACTACTACTACTACTACTACTACTACTACTACTACTACTACTACTACTACTACTACTACTACTACTACTACTACTACTACTACTACTACTACTACTACTACTACTACTACTACTGCTGATAATACTACGACGAAGAATAATACTATAACGCATCGCACTCATATTATTAAAACTACTAGCAGTTATTCGACTATTAAGAATATCAGTATTCACAGCCATGTTCTTTGTAAGAGTAATAGTACATGGGTCATAAGAGGAATCGTACTATGAGGAGAAAGATGAGGTCTGAGGAGGAGACGGAGGCCTGAGGAGGAGGAGGAGGAGGAGGAGACGCACGAATCTGCGCTTCAATAGCACTTTGCTGCCTGGCTGCGCGCCTAATGGTCTTGCTCGCCCAGCTGGAGGCCTGTCTCCAGTCGGGGAACAAACAATGACATAACAAGGGAAACTCAGAGGTCCGCGCGTATTTCGCGGACCGCCCCCCCTGGCGCGCGGAGCGTGTCAGGGGCTGCGCTGGAGGCGCCGCCAGGGGGCCCTGGCGCAGATCCGAGGAGTCCGCGCGGGCCTCCGAGTTGTTATGTTTATGTCATCGTTTGTTCCCCTATCCAGGGAGCGCGAGGCGCTGTAATGTTCTTTCTCTTCCGATCCGTCGCAGGGGCCGTGGGCGGCCTTGGCGCGAGCTGTCGAATCATGGACAACGAACGCTCTTCGTCCTCCCTCCTGCCCCATGCCGCCCCTTCCCTTCCTTTGCTCCGATCCATGGAGGAGGGACGAAGAGGAGGTGGAGGAGGAGGCCAGCGGCCACTCCAGTGGACCCCGGAACCGGAATATGGAGCCACGGATTGCATGAACAGTCGCATCCCGATCACAGCTATGACACGCCTGTGTCATTCAATGGCGTGCGTGTTGTGTCGAAGTGCTTTTAGGTGCGTCCGTTCAGACCTGTGTTGCAGTGCTTGTCGATCTGCATGCGGACAGCTGCTGTGTAATACTGGGTGCAGATTTCGCATGCTGTTTGAATGTACGGTGGGGGCGTTCATTGAGGAATGTGCCCAGCCGTCTTCAGATCCTCGGTGATTCCTTATTTGTGACATCCAAGGCCAGGACTCAGTTGGTGTTCCACGGGCTTCCAGACCCTGGACTGTTTGTCCAATGGTTCCTTATCCAATGCCCTCCTCACCGTAGGGGCTTTGTCGCGGTATCAAAGTTGAGCCGGGTCGGCCAACTTCTTTTCTGCTCCCTGTGTCGAGTTTACTCCTTTTTCTCCTCCGTAGCTGTTTTGGCTCAGACTGCTTGTGCTCCAGCATCGTGCTCAGCTGGTTCCAGATACCGTACCGTGACGACCGGGTTGCGGTTGTCGTTCTTGCACAGGCCAGGGCGTCGATTCACACGGTCCCCGGTTCCCAATGGCCGCTCGTGCATTCTGGGCCGTGGCGCAGCAGGTTCGGCCACGCGCAGAGGGGGGCAGGGGGCGGGGTGGAGGCTTCTCAGAGACACCCCTGCCTCTCAGGGGGCGCAGGCCTTGTCGATAGATGCAAGGCCCTTGGCCTTCTGGAGGAGCAGGCTCCTCCCAAGAAGCCTTCCCCCTCCCCCCTCCCCTCCCCCTTATCCCCCCTCTCCCCCCTCCCCTCCCCCTTATCCCCCTTCCCCTTCCCCCCTCTCCCCCCTCCCCTCCCCCTTATCCCCCCTCTGCGCGCCGCCAACAGGTGTCGCTCGCGGGGGCGATCGCCGTGGCCCTCGACCGGGAGACAGGGGCCGGGCACGGCGGGGGACAGGGCAGATCGGCCGCCCGCCTCGGCGTGATGAGCAAGTCCGGGGTCACGCGGTGCTCAGGGGCACACGCTCCGGGGGGGGGAGTATATAAAACGGCGCGAAGATCGGGACAAGATCGGATCGGGATAACTCGAAATCTCTGAGAATCGGCGGGTTTGGAGGATGTATTGGGCGCCGCGGCCGCTCCAGAGCGTTCCAGAACGCTCTGAGAGCGCTCCGGAACGCTCTGGAGCGATTTATCCCGATCCTAGCCCTGTTTTAGTATAGGGTCAGGGGGCATTCGAAGGACAACAGACGGCATGAACGGACACTTTTGGCGGTCCGCGCGGAATTCTTGGATCTGCGCTGGGACCCACTGGCGGCGCTTCCGGCGCCGCCCCTGGCGCGCTCCGCGCGCCAGGGAGGGGGGTCCAGCTCAGATCCAAGAATTTTGCGCGGACCGCTAAAGGCTTGTGTACGTGCTGTTTCTGTTCCTCCGGACACTGCATCGACCCCCGATCGCCCAGTCGTCGCCGACGGAGGCCCGCTGGCCCAGCCCGCCCAGCAAGGCTCGGATTCGCTGCCGGGGGCCTGCCGCCGATCTGTCGGCGATGCCTCGCTGCTTCCCGTGCGACGCTTCCCCCCCCGATCCCGAAGCGCCCGGCAGCCCCTCGTCGGCGGCCCCTCGGCGCGGCCGTGGGCGGCCCTCCCCCGCTCGCTCCCCTCCGCCCCCCTCCTCCGGAGGGCCCGAGGAGGAGGAGGAGGAGGAGGAGGAGGAGGAGGAGGAGGAGGAGGAGGAGGAGGAGGAGGAGGAGGAGGAGGAGGCGGAGGCGGAGGCGGAGGCGGAGGCGGAGGAGGCGGTGGCCCTCGGTGGTCTTGCCCCGCCCGGCCCCCCCTCGGCCCCTCGAGGGCCCTCGGCGGTCTTCCCCCGCGCGCCCCGCGCCTCTCCCCCCGCCTCCTCCTCCTCCTCCTCCTCCTCCTCCTCCTCCTCCTGCTCCTCCTCTCCTCCTCCTCTCCTGCTCCTGCTCCTGCTCCTCCTCCTCCTACTCCTCCTCCTCCTCCTGCTCCTCCTCCTCCTCCTCCTCCTCCCCATCCTCCTCCTGACCTTGCCCCTCCTCCTCCTGCCCTGCCGCCTCCTCAGGTACAGCGCCCGGCAGATCAGGCAGGCCCGCAGCACCGAGGGGGCCTACTGGCCGGACTCCAGCAGCCGCGGCAGTGGGAGAGCAGACAACGGCATCAGCGTACGGTCGGACCGAGGCGTGAGATCGGGGCCGGTTCGGGGAGGGCACCCCCATGCTCTTCGTGCTTGTTGGATGTTCTTGGGCATCCTGGGGGATGGCACCTTCGAGTGTTCTTCGGTTTGGGCTGGCGGAGGCTCTGATGTTCTTGAAGGATGTTCTTCTGTCCTAGGTCCGACCGTACTCTCCTGGATGTCCGCGCGGACATCCGAGAAGTTATATTCTCCAAACAGTGGTTGCACTTGCGGATTATTATTTCTGTTCTAAGGAGCTGGGCCTCTCGGCTGGTCTGGCGGCTGTGGCCGCCGTTCACCGCCCGTCGCCTGGGCCTGTCGGGCGGCCTGGCGGCTTTGTCGTCGCCGTCGCCGCCCCGTCGTGGCCGTCGCCGCTCGCCGCCGCCGTTCGATTGCACCACATAAATTTATTTGCCTTGCTTTTCATTTCTCTGCATTGCTTTGCAGTGTTTGGCATTGCTTTGCATTACTTGTTTCTTGCTTAGCGTTGCTTTGCATTACGTCGCTTTGCCTCGATTTGCATTTCTTGGCATTGCTTGGCATTGCTGCGCATTGTTTTGTCTTGCTTTGCATTCCTTTGCTTTGTGTTGGTTTGCTTTCCTTTGCATGGCATTGCTTTGCATTGCACTGCTCTGCAGCGCTTCGTCTTTCTTTGCTTTGTCTTACGTTGCTTTGCCTTGCTTTGCATTGTGTTGGTTTGCCTTTATTTGCATCACTTCACAATGCCTTGCCTTGCTTTGTCTAGCTTTGCATTGTTTCGCCTGGCTTTGCTTTGCTTTGCATTGCTTTGCTTTGCGTCTCTTTGCTTTGTATTTTGTTGCTTTGTCTTGCTTTGCATGTAAATCAATGCAAGCGATGTAGATGTTAGTAGGCGTGGATTCCAAACAGTGTGTTCTTAGCGATTCATGTGGTGCTTTCTAACCAAGTTGCGCGTGGGTGGGTGGGATGTTTACAAGAGCGTGGGATTCGCCAAATCCTTTGTAAGCATAACTTGCCCAACATAGGTTGTATCACATATGCTGTTTCAGATCTCTTGCCCCACGTGGATTGTACCACATTTGTTGCACGCTATGGGTTGCATGACATTATCGCGCAACGTAGATTGCCGATCATCTCTCTTATACTTATATGTATCTCGGTCAACATTGTACGTCGTACATTTCACCGCACGGGCTGCTTCACTTGGAATGTACCGCAGGTTGCACTACACATGTTTATTTCCAACAAGAGTATTAGAGTATACCCCCCCCTAGACTTGACACCGCACCTTTTCCGCATTGTTTTCGTATATGATTTCGGACACCCGTCCAGCCTAACTCTGATTTCGTACCGTCCCAGGCCGTCGCTTATCGACCCCCCTAATCCAGTGCGAAGATCCACCACGCGCGCGCACTCGTTTATCACAGATCACCCTTTCCAACACTCCCTTGCAACAAAAGGGACGAAGTGCACGCGCGCGCGTAGTCGTGCACGCATGCTGACATATTTTTAAACTGCCTGAGGTTTCACAAGGATTTCAACATCGAGTGTCCCGACCACATTCACAAACCAATGGTTTCGCAACCGCAGTTTTCCAAAACGCATGCGTTCGCGCTCTTGCGAATTATTCAGACAGCCATTGGTTTTTCAACACGTCCGTCCCATGCCACCGAACGGGCCCCTCGCGCGCGCATGTCGGAATCATTCGAACGCCTTTGCGCGCGCGCGCTGGCATGCGGCCCACTCGCGCGCTTTGGCCGCGCGCGCAAGTCGAAATCCCAATCACAACCTTCTTCGCCGACGCGAGGATACAATCATCTTCGGCCTGATCAGCACCGACGCCATCATTGCCCTTGCCGTCATCAGTGCCTTCTTCATCGTCGCCAGCATCGCTACTATCATCATCGCGTCTGCCGTAGTCGATGTCGCCATGATACGGCGCCCACCGAGTCACCGACCTATACTGAAATGCCCGCGCGTCAGCGCTGCCTGCAAGACGTGCTGGGACGTCCCCAGCGGTCGGCAAAGCTGCAGGTGGATGGGTGGGATGGTTGCGCGAGTAGTGAAGTTGATAACTTCAAGTTCGGCAGGGTGAGTTGCACCACACAGATTGCACAACATATATTGCACCATGTATATTGTATCACAGAGGTGGCAATACACAACCACTCACACCCGCACGCACGCATGCACGCACGCACATACACAGATACACAGGCACACAGACACACAGACACACAGACACAGACACACAGACACACATGCACACAGACACACATATACACAGACACACGGACACACAGACACACAGACTCACAGACACACAGACACAGACGCACAGACACAGACACACCACACACACACCACACACCACACACACACACACCACAAACAACACACACAACACACACAACACACGCAACACACACCACACACAATATAACACATACAGCACACACCACACACGACACGCACAACACACCCACACACACTCACACACACCCATACACACCCACACACACAACGCTCACAATGCACAACACACAATACACACAACACACAGCATACACGCATCACACACAGCACACAACACACACAACCCACACCATACGCAACACATACAGCACACACGACACACGCCACACAAAGCACACGCACCACACACCACACACATCACGCATACCACTCAACACACACCACACACAACACACACAACACACAACACACAACCCACAGCACACACAACACACAACACACACCACACACCACACAATACACACCACACAACCCACAACACACAACCCACAGCACACATACCACACAGCACACAACACACAACCCACATAACACACAACACCACACACCCACACACACACATCCACACCCATGCACACACACACACGCATACGCGCACTCACACACCAACACCTCGCCCACACAGGCACACATGCACGCACGAACGGACGCACACACACACACCCACACACGCAGACATACATATACACGCAAACGCATGCACATGCACACACCCACCCACACCCACACACCCACACACCCACACACCCACACACCCACACACCCACACACCCACACACCCACATACCCACGCACCCACACGTACACCCACACACACACCCACACACCCAAACACCCACGCACCAAAACACCCACACACCCACACACCCACACACCCACACCCACACACCCACACACCCACACACCCACACATCCACCCACACACCCACCCGCACACCAAAACACCCACACACCCACCCACACACCAAAACACCCACACACCCACACACCCACCCACCCACACACCCACACACCCACACACCAACACACCCACACATCCGCTCACGCACACATCCACACACCCGCACACGCACCCGCACACGCACACGCACACGCACACGCACACGCGCAGGCACGGGCACGGGCACAGGCACAGGCACAGGCACAGGCACAGGCGCAGGCACAGGCACAGGCACATGCACAGGCACACTTACACGCACGCGCACGCGTACGTGCACACTCACACGCACACGCACACGCACACGCACACGCACACGCACACGCACACAGACGCAGACGCAGACGCAGACGCACACGCACACGCACACGCACACACACACACACACCCGCACCCACACACACAGCACATACAAAACACACAACACATAACGCACACACTACACACAACACACAACGCACAACATACACAACACACAACACACAACACAAACCACGCAGCATGCAACACACAATACACAACACACAACACACAACACACACCACACACCACACAACACGCACACACAACACCCACACACACTCTCACATACACACACCCACACACATTCACACACACATTCACACACACGCACACACACGCACACACACACACACACTTGTTGCGTCGGCGTCTAGACATAGGGACTGTGCTGGCGAGAAAACACACGCACACATTCACACATCCACGCAAATTCAGACACATTCGCACACATGCAAACACTTTCGCACACAGTCACACATTCACACGCACACCCGCACCTACACCCACACCCACACCCACACCCACAAAGCACACACATACACGCACACACACACACGCACGCACGCACGTTTGCACACACATGCACACTCATTGCTTCTCACATATCTTGAGCCCTTTAGGTTTTACCACGTAGATTGTGTTACATCGATTGCACCGCCTCGCTGGCAGAACATGTATCTCACAACATACATGTTGCACACAGCAGTTTGCACAACATATGTTGCTAGACGCACTGCTCGGGGCCCACGCTGGCGAACATGTATTTTTGACATCACATGATGCAGTATTTTGTTCCTGCAGGCAACTCGCTCTACGCCGGCGCAGGGGACCTCACGGACAACGTCTCGTGGGGCTGGCATCACCCGAACGGGGTCTACAGCACCATCCCAGTCGGAGCGCCCCTCATCGACAACGAGCTGAACATCTACGTCGGGTCGGACGATGCCATCCGGAAGTTCGACGTGTCTGGGGAGCTGCTCTGGAGCTACGCCCCCCGCGGCCAGCTCGCCGCCGCCCCGTCCATCGCCATCAGCTCGCTGTCGCGGCGCATGGCAGTGGCCCCCACCGAGGTCTCCGCCGAGGAGGAGGCGGCCCTCCGGCCAGACTGGGCGAAACAGGGGGACGACCCCGAGGTCCCGTACGAGACCTTTTTCGCCCAGGTCAAGGTCGGCGACCGCCTTAAGGTATTCACCGCCAGAATATCTCCACATCCACCGCCTCGGAATCGTGCCTGGGGACCCCCCCGAGTTCCTGGGACACGTCCATGCAGCAGTGGATGTGGGCACGTTCTGGCGGCGCACCAGGTGCGCCCAGGCAAGGCGTTCGTCGGGGACGGCGGCAAGGACCTCTACAGGGACGGCGACCAGGGCAGGATCACCAAAGTCCTCAGGGAGGGAGGCGACGGCGAGCGGGTGGTCATCCAGTGGCCGCGCACCGGCCACGAGAGCGTCGCGAGCCTCGCCTCCCTGGGCAAGAGGTTCGTGCGCGTCGCCAGCGAGGTCAGTGCGGCCACCCTGCCGCCCATGCTCGTCGGGAGCACCACCTCTGGCTACGTGTTCGCGGTCGGGCTCAGCGACGGGGAGGAGATCTGGGCGACCCAGGCCTCCGAACAGATCGCGGGCGTCAAGGGGGCCGTTGGCGCCAAGGACGGAGTGGTCGTGGTCGCGACCAACCGCTGCACCGACCGGTACTGCTACCGGTACCGCAACCAGACGAACCCACTCACGCCGAGCAACTCCATCGTGAGGGGCCTCAGCGCAGCGGACGGCAGCGCACTCTGGTCCTACAGGACACGGTCGCCCGTGTGGAACATGGTGCCGCAGTGGGGCCCCAACGACACCGTCATGTTCCAGGACTTCGAGGCCAACGCCTACTGCCTCAACTTCAAGACTGGTGCGCTGGTGTGGACGTTCCGCGCCTCCAAGGGCATGGGCACCTACACGAACGCCGCCGCCGTGTACGACGCGGCGTCCGATCGGTTCTTCTCGATGGGCGCCAAGGAGTACGAGCACAAATATTGCAACCCGTACCCCGCGCCAGGTGTCCTGCCCCACTGCAACACGTGGCCTGGCTCCGCAGGTATGATCTACGGCCTCAACGCGACCTCGGGCAGAAAAATTTGGGAGTTGGAGACCCGCGAGCCGCCGGCGAGCGGCGCCGTCGGCTTGCTGAACAGCCCCCCGGGCCACACCAGGCTGGTGGTCACCCTGGGCTACAACTGCAGGTACAACTCCCCCTCCGGGCTCCTGTCCATCGACCCGCACAACGGCCACCTCCGGTGGGAGAGGGAGGGCCCGACGCTGTGGTCCGGCATGTGCGCGGGAGACAAGGAGGGCGGCGACATCCGGAGGGCGATGGGCGGCCGCGCCGCGTGCGTGCCGAACTCCTGGTCCAGCCCAGTCATCGACTCCAACGGTGACTTCTACGTCGGCAACCAGGTGGGGGTGCTGCAGAAGTGGGGGTCTCCCACGGGGCGGACCCTTGACGTCCAGCTGCTCTCCACCCTGACCACGGGGGTGGCGTTCCAGGACTCGGCCATCGCGGTCGGGCCCGGCATCATGGCGGTGTCGACGTGCACCTCTCTCATCGTTATGCAGACTTCGGATGGGGACAACTTCACCTTTCCCCAATACGAGTACTGAGCCTGTCAGGCGAGAACAGGCGGTGAGGAGGAGGAGGAGAAGAGGAGGAGAAGAGGAAGAGGCAGGATGTTAGTTCTTAGTGTTCGAGCAACGATAATGATATGATCTGCGGTCACGAACTTTGGCTCAGAGTGTCGCGCTGCCAGTTCTGGCCCACCACGTTTCGGCGCCGCACGCTAACCTCGGGTCGGGCGAAAGGGGGGGATTGGGAAAGGGGGGGTTACGAAATTTGCTGCATGCAGCTGGTTTCGGCCTCACCGAGGGGCCCATTCCTCGATACATAGCCGCCTCCGGCGCCGGGAGGCGCCGGGAAAATCAGCTACGCGAGCTGATTCTCAACCCCCCCCTTTGCTATCCCCCCCTTTCGCCCGACCCGAACCACGTCCCACTCCCCAAGCGCCGAAGTCCCGAGCTTTTCCCGGCCCCCCCGCCCCGCGGAGCAGCGCCACGCGCTGTTACCTCTACGACCTTTCGAGGCACAGCGTGTCGTTGGGGGACCGCCGCCGCGACACGCTGAGTAAAGGGTCTCGACGAGGTTGCATATAGATGCGGTGCATGTAAGTACATGTATATATATATATATGTATATCTAGATGCGCACGAAGAGATCTACATACACATCGAGAAACAACTAAAACAATAACGAGAGAGAGAGAGAGAGAGATGAGACAGAGAGAGAGAGATATAGAGTGAGAAAGAGAAATAGCGACAAAGAGAGAGAGAGAGAGAGGGAGGGATAGAGAGAGAGAGAGAGATAATTATATAGGTGCATATATATATGTGTATATATACATAGATAGATAGGTAGCAAACTAGAGAGAGAGAGAGGGAGAGGGACACATAGCAACATACATATATACATATATAGCACTAGAGTCAGAGAGAGAGAAAGAGAGAGAGAGAGGGAGAGAAATAGAGCAACATAAAGAGAGTGACCGAGAGAGAGAGAGAGAGAGAAAAAATGAGAGATAATGGCATACATACAGATATATATATACACATATATATATATATAGAGAGAGAGAGAGAGAGAGAGAGAGAGAGGGAGAGGCAGGGAGAGGAGACAAGGAGGCACGAGGGGGACTGCCGCATCGTGTGTTCGCCAGTATTCAGGCACGGCTGCTGCTCGCGGAGCTTTGGCTCACGAGCGCGACCCGTGCATGCAGACGGCTTTTACATGCCTCGACAACTGATGTTGCAGGCCGCCCATCGTCGCGCAGCACTGCTTTACTCCCTCCTCTTCCTTTTGCTGCGTCAGGGGGGCGAAGAATGACATATACATAAAAACTCGGAGGTCCGTGCGGATTTCTCGGGTCCGCGCTGGACCCCCCTGGCCGCTCCTTCGGCGCCGCCCCTGGCGCGCTCCGCGCGCCAGGGAGGGGCGTCCAGCGCGGATCCGAGAAATCCGCGTGGACCTCCGAGCTTGCATGTTTTTTTTGCCATCCTTCATCCCCCGACTTTTGCTGCGTGCGCCAGGGGTCTGCAGGGCCAGTTGCTACGCCGAGCTGGCCCAGGCTTGCATATGCGAGCGGCTTCCGCCACGCCGCCGGCCCCCACCCCCAGAAGGCGTCAGAGCTTGCCACGGTCGTGGAAGCTATCGATCAGGAGGGGACAAACACACACACAGACACAGTTAATCGGCGACTCCCAGGAACATATGGGAAACTATGCGAAGTGGGGGGGAAGACGAAACTCCAGAAAATATGTAACAACATGGGGAATCCCAAGATTTGTGTGTATTCATTTGTGTGTCCTGGGCCCCTTCAGTCGAAGACGCCTGCGGAGACGCCGCCATCTTTTTTAGGATGCGCCCATGTGGCCAAGCGTTTGGGCAAAGTCTGGCCACGCTGTTGGACCCTGCATGCCCCCAGCTGCTGCGGAAGCCTTTCGGGGAACACGTGGGGAAGGAAGGGGAGGGCGAGGAGAGGAAGGAGAAGCTAGGATGGGGAGCTTCTGGGGAGTCCTTGGGGACTTCTCGGGGGCCTCTTTGGCCGTCTTACGTCGTTCCTAACCCGTCTGACGCCGTCGGGATCCGTCTTGGGAGCCTCTCTGGGATGTCATTGGGCCCTCTTGGGACACTTCAGGGTCGTGTCGAAGGCCACCTTGGAGGCCTCCTGGGCTGAATTGCGGCCCTTTGGGGGCCGTCATGGGGGCCTCTTGGGCTGCTTTGTGGCCATCTTGGCGGCCTCTCGGGGCAATCTTGAGGGCCTCTTGGGCCGTCGGAAGGCAGTTTGGAAGCACACGCCAAAAACCTTCAAACACCCACGGACAGTACATGATTTTGACCTCGTCGGTCATTCCTGTTGGTCCACTTTGAGGCTTCATATGCCGTCTTGGAGGCCTCTTGGTAGCTTCTTGGGCCGTCTTGGGCCATCTTGAGGTAATCTTAGGCCGTCTTGAGTGCATCTTGGGCCGTCTAGCATCTGTCGGCCATCTTGGGTTCTCTCGGGGCCTTCTTTGCCGTCTTGGAGGCGTCTTGGGGCCATCTTGGAGGCCATCTGGGGCCTTCAGGGCCGCCTTGGAGGCGCTTGAGCCAATCGAGGTGCAGCTTGTGCAGCTCTGCGTGTGGCTGGCGGGTTGAGCAGAAGAATCAACACTGTGCCAGATATCCAGCACGCCGTGCACCTGTGTGGCAATACCACGTGGGGGCGGCGGTTTTTGTGACCTTCGGCCCAATCCGCCACTGTGCCTGGGCTGTGGGTCAGGAGCATCTTGGATGAATATGAGGTTCTCTTTGGATGCCTCTCAGGGTCCCCTTGGAGGGCTCTTGGGTGCATCCGGGAGGTTTTTGGGGGCCTCCTGGGGGCCTCTTGGGGGCTTCTTGTGGGCGTCTTGGAGGCCTCTTGGGGCCTCTTGGGCCCCTGGAGGCGCCTCAGGGGGCTTCTGCGGGGCTCTTGGGGCCATCGCAGGGGGAAAGGCTTGAAGTATCAGTTCGTATTCCCCCCTCTTCAGCTCTCTTGGGGCCCTCTTTGGGCTCTCTTGGGCCGTCTTGGGGGCCCTCTTGGAGGCCTAATCGGCCGTCTTGTGACGATCTTGGGGATCCCCAGGGCAGTCTCAGAAGCTGTTAAGACGAACGTGGAGAGTGTGCTGAACATGAAAGTTTTCCTAAGGGAACGGGGCGATGTTTGCCTCTTGGGGCCTTCTCGGCGGTCCTCTGGGCTCTGGGAACGCTGCTGGGCCGTCTTCGGGGCCTTGTCGGTTTTGAAGTCATCCTTGTTCGTCGTGGGGCTACTCTGGGCCGTCTCGACGCTATCTTCGACTATCTTGGCGCTCTGTCTGGGACCCCTTGGGGCCTTTTTGGAGGCCCAGGAGGCCCCGGGGGGTGCGTCGGCGAGCTCGCCCACCCCCCTCCCTCGAGTTGCATTTTGGACCCCGGGGGAGGGGGAAAGGGGGACGGGGGCAGCCACATGTCTCACACGCCTTTCCCCCCGGGCATGCGGGGGTCGGCGGGCTCCGAGCCTGGCAGCCAACCTCCGGGACCGCTTTGTGCAGTGATCACCGTCGCGAGGCAAGGGAGGGGCCTGTCATTCCTAACCCCACGTTTTGATCCCTTCCACTTCATGTTGAGCTTGTCTTCATGAGTGCGTTATGTTTGGGCCACGCGCGCCTACAGCGAGTGGCACGTCGTCAGGGCGTCCCTGCTGACAGGACTCCATGCGCTTGAAGCTGGTCGCTCGCACTAAAGGTACTGGCAATCCCCAGCATCTGCCCAGTACCTTGATCGCGCCATCCTGTCGCTGCTGCCACCAACTTCCCTATCGAGCGCTCTCTTACCGCTGCTGCTGCTTCTCTGTCTCACCTCTGAATCATCCCTGTCGCCAGTGTCATTCTGCAACCCTCTCCTCATCGATCATCCTCCTTGAGCTTCCTCCTCGAGCTTCTTCCTCGAGACTCTGCCTGCTGCGACTGCTGCTGCTGCTGCTGCTGCTCCTCCTCCTCCTCCTCCTCCTCCTCATCGAGCTTCATCCTCGAGCCTCCTCCTCGGGCTCTCCTCCTCGAGCCCCCTCCTCCTCGAACTTTCTCCCCAATCCCTCCCGCCCAGGTCATAGAGGGGCTGCTGCGGAAGGAACCGCGCGGCCGGATGTCGCTGGGCGAGAGCTGCCTGGAGCTTGTGGGGGGGTGGAGGGGTAGGGCATAGGCGGGGCACGATCGAGAGAAATGGGGATCGAGGAGGATTGGGAGGAGGAGGAGGATGAGGATGAGGATGAGGATGAGGATGAGGATGATGATGATGATGATGATGATGATGATGATGATAATGATGATGATGATGATGATGATGATGATGATGATGATGATGATGATGATGATGATGATGATGATGGTGATGATGATGATGATGATGATAGTGTGATGATGATGATATGATGATGAGGATGCTGCTGTGATGATGTTGATGATGATGATGACGATGATGATGATGATGATGATGATGATGATGATGATGATGATGATGATGATGATGATGATGATGATGATGAGAGATGATGAGGAGGAGGAGGAGGAGGAGGAGGAGGAGGAGGAAGAGAAGGAGGAGGAAGAAGCTCGACGAGGAGTAAGAGGAGAAGGATGAGGAGGATGATGATGAGGAGGAGGAGGAGCAGGGAGGAGGGAGGAGGAGCAGGAGGGAGGAGCAGGAGGAGGAGGAGGAAGCTCGACGAGGAGAGGAGGAGGAGGAGGAGGAGGAGGAGGAGGAGGAGGGAGGAGGAGGAGGAGGAGAGGAGGAGGAGGAGGAGGAGGAGGAGGAGAGGAGGAGGAGGAGCAGGAGCAGGAGCAGGAGGAGGAGGAGGAGCATGAGGAGGAGGAGCAGGAGGAGGAGGGCGGAGGAGGGGGAGTGAGGAGGAGGAGGAGGAGGATAATGGAGGAGGAGGAGGAGGAGGAGGAGGCGGAGAAGAAGGAGGGGGGAGGATTAGGATGAGGAGAGGAGAGGAGGAGGAGGAGGAGGAGGAGGAGGGAGGAGGAGGGGGAGGAGGAGGAGAGGAGGAGGAGGAAGAGGAAGATGAGGAGGAGGAGGGGAGGAGAGTCGGGAAGGAGGAGGGGGGAGGATTGGGAGGAGGGAGGAGGAAGAGGAGGAGGAGGAGGAGGAG